AAGTCTCTTATTTGCCCCTCTATGGAATACTGTTGTCATATTTAAGCTGGTTCTTCTAATGATGCTTGTTCTCTTCTAGACAAGGTTCAAAATGCGTTGTAATCATAGTTGGACTGGGTCTACCTGATAAGCTTGAGCACCTTTTCCATTGTTGTAAAGTTGCATCTCTTTCTCATTTCTACAAATGTTACCATGGTTACTACTTAAAAGAGCTATAATCTCTAGTTGCATCAACTAAAACTCATTCTTGCTTGACTCGTCATTCATCGAAGTCTCATTCTTTTAATGTATCTGTCTCTGCATGCTCATAAAACTTTTATTTGTCTAGTTTTTTTCCCTGCACCTCAACCCTTTGGAACTCTCTCCCATCTTCATGTTTTCCTTACTCATACAACCTTTAACTTTTCAAGTCTTCTTTCATTTGTTTCTTTGCTCTATAACTTTATTCTTTTTTTCTAGTAACTCCCAACTTAATAGTGGTTTGCCTGCAGTCTTGTTGTGAGTGAATCAGAATTTAAAAAAAAAATAAGGAGGGGGGGGGTTAAGACACCATAATATCTATATATACATACATATATAAAAATAGAGAGAGAAAAGATATCTTTAAATTATGGAATGATTTCTTCTTGTTCTTCTTGTTGGCAACTAAAACCTTAGTTACCCATTTATTTAAACCTCTGAACCAAATTAGCAAAATGGGAAAAGTTAAATGTTCCTTTTACCATAAAGATTATGTATAACAATTGAACTTGAACAACAAAGCATGTTAAAAATATTTGTAAGTGTCTTGATATATTACTCTATATGCTAATGTCTAGATAAATAAATCATAATTAGAAAAAAAATGCAGATAAAAAAATAAATTATGAATAAATAAATTACAAATCATCAGATGAAGGTGGTCTGGGAAACTCATTAAATAGTAATAATTCAAAATTTTTAAATTTCCCTTGAAATTAATTTTAGTAAAGGGCTTTTTTTACTAGTAATATATTTTTTTAAACAAATATAAAAAACAATGTAAGACTAAGTTACTACACAATATACAAATGCTCAACGAAATAAATAATCTCGATAGATTGCTTATTTCTTTGAGCATTTGAAGTCTGATATTAAATGGGCATGATATTATATACTAATATATTTACATTATCAAAATCTTAAAGGTTATTTTCTTATAGGATAAGAACAGTTTCTATATTTAATGAGAGTTGTTAGGAAGCACAACATGACAAATAAATATTCCCATACAGTATGCTTAGATATATAACTTTAAAGCCAGTTTAATTTTTTTATTAAAAATATAAGTTAAATTGGTGTTTATACATGTAATTGTGCTTATAATGATCGTATACTAAAAATATACTAAAATATAGAAAACTATTCCAAAATTTATGCCAAAAAAAACAACAAAAATTCCTCAAAAAAAGCAGAAAAAAACAAAAAAATGCTGAAAAACTAAAAAAACTTGTTTTTTTTGACCAAAAAAATGCCAAAGTAAAAAACTTGATTAATTGCAATAGGTAATGTCACAGCCACATCAAAATGTCACCAACTATATTAACCTAAGTCATACTTAATAGGAAAAAATTTCATATATTCTTTAGTTTCGTAAAAGCTCTCTTGAAAAACAAGAGAGCTTTTATAAAACTAAACAAGAATATATGATTGAAATTCAAGCGTATATTTTCTTACAGTTTCAAAAAAAATCTTATCTCAATTCAATTGAATTGTTAAATGACTGTTTTTACAATTATTGTTTGATTATTTATATTGTATTATATTATATTAAGAAATTACCTTAATATTGATGTGTTGAAACTTTAATAATGATACCTAATATGTTAATATCCTGTTAAAAATTTCCAAAAAAACTTGATAGAAGTGAAATTTTAACTAAATTAGGAACTGAAATAAGAAGTAGAGTTGTTGAAATCATAAGAACTGAACTGAAATTAATTTTAAGAAAACTTATTTAAAACTGAAATAGGAATAATTTTATAAGTAAAATTAGAGTCAAAAATTAAATCGATGCCACAAGAACTGAATAGAGACTGAAATGGAAATTATATTTCGAACTTAAATATTACTGGTCTATGAGCTGTCTCATACATATAAACATATAAAAAAATTTTATGTTTATATGTAAAACATGTTGATTGACATCTTTTTTTAAAGAATTTATTGATATTATAATTATACTCATGTTCAAATTTTTTTTTTTAAATTCGAACATGAGTATAATTATAATATCAATAAATTTTTAAGACCAATTTTTTTAGTTTTATCATATAAATTGTATAATATAGTAATAATTAAGGGATAATCTTTCTTATAAAAAATATTCTTATTTATCAATCATGTATTCATGATTATTTAAAAAAAAAATGGTTGTAGTCATATCTAGGTTCAGAAAATTTGTTGAAATATAAGCTTATGATAAGCATATTGCCGAGTCTTATCTAGCATGAGGGAGAAAAAAATACATTCATTGGGAAGTCATTTCAAACCAAAGTTCTTTATATATAATAAAATTTCTTATGCATGTAATTCTTTTAACTACATTTTTTTTAAACGTAGTTTATTTTGTATTAAGTTATATTGCTGCTGTTAAATTTAAAGTATAAATAAAAAAAAATAACAGTTAATAATTTTATTAACAGATTGAAAAATCTAGAATGCTGCTGTAGTTTATGCAAAGTATTAATAGTATAGTATGCTGCAGCATACTATGCTGCTAATCCACAGTACGTTGCTGTTATGTAAAATTATTTTAGTTATATAAAGTATAATTGACAGCAGTGTACTAAATATTTTAATTAGTTTGTTATATTTTAATCTGAATAGCTCAGATGAAAATCAGTTTTAAAACTTCAGAACATTTTTTTTTTCAACATCTTTGCTTCCAACAAGGCTGCAAGCAAGCAATATTTGATTTGGAAGTTACTGGAAGAGAAAAGACAAAGTTTATAGAGCAAGATAACAAGCCTTCCCAGGAAAGGCATGCGGTTTTTTGTCTCGTACAACCACAAAAACGTTTTTCAAGTTAGAGAATGTGATCACGGCCATTTGCGCAAGTTATATTATATGTGTTACTGAAAAATTGTTTTAAATTTAATAACTACATAAGAAATTAAAGTAAACTTAAATAGAAAACAATAATAACAGTTTAAATAATTTGTGTGTTGTTTTTATTTTTTTTTATTTTTTTAGTGGTTATTATAATCAGCAACAAAATTCATTAAGTCAAAGCAAAAAAAAAAACAACAGTTTTAGGCGTTAAAAAGGATGACTTTCCCATATTTTATGTGTTTTTTCTTTTAAAGAGGAAAGAGAAAATATGTATCGTCGTCTGTTTGTAAAATATATTTGTATATTTATAATGTATCAAGTTTATATCAAAAGTTAAATTATACGATCGCGATTTGCAAACTCTGGTAAAATATTAGGTCTTTAAAACTTTAGTTCATGCAAAGCTGTGTACTTTGTTTATAAGGAGCAAATTATTAAGTTTTCTAATGACAAAGTTACAAAAAACAAAACAAAAACAATAAACCTACTACTACAAAAGTAATAACACTTTAGTCACTAACTGCATTATAAAAGTAATAAAACTATAGTAGTGTTATTACATTTATAAAGCACTTATTACTTTTAAAGTTCATTCTTTGTTCAAACAACATTATTAATTCCAAACATTTATTAAAGTAGAAAAGCATCTAGAAAAAATAAGGCGGATATTCAAATATTAAAAATTTCAGGAATTTTCACATATCACTTATCATATCACATATCACAACGTTATACAAAAGTACTTTAGAAAAAGTATAGCATTATGAAAAGCTTTACGTAAAAATGCGCATTAATTTTAAAATCAACCAATAAAAAATTTTTATTGGTTAATTTTAAAATTAACGTGCGTTTTTACGGTCCATTAGTAACGTTTTTCATAATGCTAAACTTTTAATACAATACGTTTTCATAAAGTTGTTTGTCACGTTTTTATAAGTTACTTTAGTTTTAATATTATTTAAACATCTACTTTATTTTTCTATTATTACAATGATGTGATGGTTGGAGGTTGGCTTTAAAATCAGGTCCAACTATGTTTACAAAGTTTCCAAAATGTTTACAATGCATTTACATCAAACTTTATTATTAGTAAGAATTTTGTTGAATAAATTAAACAATAGAAGTTTTGTGTTTTTGCTTTATTCGAATAATTTTTTTTAATTATATATATATATATATATATATATATATATATATATATATATATATATATATATATATATATATATATATATATACATATATATATATATATATATATATATATATATATATATATATATATATATATATATATATATATATATATATATATATATATATATATATATATATTATGTACAAACATCTGCGAGCAAGTTTGCAGATTGTATATTTAAGTATTGTGTATGTATAATATAAGTATATAAGTATTGTGTATGTATAATATAAGTATATAAGTATTGTGTATGTATAATATAATTGAAACCTTTAAAACTTTTTTGACAATTAAAAGTCTTTTTGCTTAAACTGTTTTGTTTTGAAATTTTGTACCTATGTTATTGTATTTTAAACAAATTGACAAGATTAAAAAATATTTTATCATTGATGTGGGACCTTTGGTGACTATTACCTTACTGCACATCACACCTTATTGCTCAGAGAACATCACACCTAATCACTGAGCTACTAATTTTTTTTTATTTAGATATTAAAATAAATTGTTTTATGAAAATTTATAACAATAGTTATTAATTTGCCATGACTCTCTCTCCTCCTCCCCCTCCTTGATAGTTCTGCTTGCTAAAATTTATGTCATATTTTTAATAATTCAACAAGTCCAGTATTAAAAACAGCTCAAATTTGACCGGTTTGGAGAGCTAGTTATTATTATTGTTATAATTATTATTTTTTTATTATTATTAATTAATTGTTAATGTATTGTTAAGGAAATTGAAGTTGATGGAATACGCTTCCCAAAGAATTTACACAGCATTGCTGCAGTCAATTATGTCTTGATGCAAAAACCAAATCCACAAAAAGAAGAAGCCACTATCAGTCTTGAGTTAGATTGTAGTGATTCAAAGCCTCCATCAAAACAAATGAAAGTCAGTTTTTTAAAATATTTTTAACATGAAAAGTATAAGTTTGCATTTATAGCATAAAATATTAATATTAAATATTAAAATATTAATTTGTAAATGTAAATAGTATATAAACTCAAAGCATAAAAAATTTGTTTTTTTAATATCTCATGAACTTTGCAAATTCTTACAGGAAGTGCTTTTTGAAGATATAGTTAATAAAAATGTCAAAGAAGAGCAAAGGAATCATATCAGCTGGTAAACATTTATTTGTAATCTTTTCACTTTTTAAAGAGTAAAAAAATTTTAAAAAAACCAAATGTCTTTTAGGCATGTACATTTAGGCGAAGAAATTGTGTCTGAAACATATAAAGACAAAGTCATTAATGATCGCACTCAGGGATTTGTTAAAAGTGAGGTAAAAGATATCAATGAAATTTAGTCAAGTTAAAAATATTATGAAATTTTAAAGTTATAAACTTTTTTCTATCTTATTATTCCTAGCAACAAAATTTTTTTGCACACTTTGAATCCAGACAAAAAAAAATTTGTTTATTCATTGTTTATTGAATCAAAAAATTTATTGTTTATTGAATAGACAAATTACAGTTTTTAGTGTGATAAAATATCACACAAAAAACTGTAATTTGTAACTCTAAAAGAAAGCAGATCTTTTAAAGGGAGTTGAAACAGGCATCTTAAAGCTGTGCAGTACTAGGGCAATAAATAAAGGAATGTCTGGATAAGCAGTTTGCAGTGCATTTATGTCTGTACAAAAATTTGTAGGAGCAACACACACACACATGCACACACATACACACATACACAGACACATCAAAATCTTGAAGTTAAGTTGAACAACTGCTTCTCACTTAGATGTTTTTGTAGTTTAAATTATTTAGATATATGTAGTTAATCTTAAAAAAATGCATCTCTAACTATCTCTCTATCTATCTGTATATATATATATATATATATATATATATATATATATATATATATATATATATATATATATATATATATATATATATATATATATATATATATATATATATATATATATATATATATATATATATATATATATATATATATATATATATATATATATATATGTATATATATATATATATATATACATATATGTATATATACAGATAGATAGAGAGATAGATAGAGATGCATTTTTTTAAGATTAACTACATATATCTAAATAATTTAAACTACACAAAAAAAAACATCTAAGTGAGAAGCAGTTGTTCAACTTAACTTCAAGATTTTTCTTACAACATTTACATGTGAAATGCTCAAGACTTGTCTGGTCCCTGTAAGCCTTACACATTTCTATGTAGTGTTAATATTAGTAATATTTGTATCAGCTGTAAACACAATTATAAAATTATTATTTTACTTTTATGATTCTTAGCTGTCATGAACATCTTATTTTTATTTTTAGGACATGCAAAAGCAAGTAAAGAAATATAATACTGTAAAACTATTTAAGAAAACTTGTAGACCTGCAAATTCAGTAATTTTATTATTAGTTTCTTGATTGGAAAGTATTAAATAAAATTTTATCAGTTTTTTTTACAGTATATAAGACTATAAGAAGTAGTTTAATCCCAGATAAATCGTTTTTGTTATTTTTTATGATTGTCTCTGCTCTTGCCTGGTGTTAAGTGTATTATTATTTTAAACTTAACTATAGTTATGCTATATGCTAAAATATCACTAAAAAAAGATTTCAAAATAGATTGATTCCTATTTTTGAGAATTATCCTATTGTTTATCTTATAATATTAATAAAATATTACTATTTGTTTCACATTTATTTGTTATAGTCTATCAGTCATTTCCTTTTTTTTTTTCAGGAACTGGAGTTAGAACCATCTTTCTTTTTATATAAAAATGATGATTGGGAAAAAAGGCATATCTTTTTACAAAAATTTATACAAGTTGCGCGTAAAGTATGTTGTTTTCACTATTTAAAAATTAGGAAATAGTTTAAAAATTATGAAAAGATTAAAACTATTTTTTTAAAGGTAATTATACACAATCGGCTTTTGAAAATTTTGAAGTCTCTATCAAGTCACTTACCGCAATGGAAGCAAGGAAAGTTTGAATTACAGCAAACAAGTGAGCTTTTAAAGTTATTTTTTACAACCAGTTAAATATTCATTTCTGCAAATTATTCTACTAATCACACATTACAAAAATTCTATATTGATGATATTAACATATCATCAATATAGAATTTTTTAGCTTTGTGTATTATTTTTTACCTTTATATAATATTTTTTACCTTAACACTATATTTTTTACCTCACCTTATTATAATATCTTTTTACTTTACTTTAATATGTTAGCATGGTTAAAGTGGTGTAGTACTACTGTAGTACTTTACTAGTTGTAAAATTTATACAAATCAAGAAATTTATGGAGGAGCCCAAATATTGTTAAAAGTTTTTGACAATATTTGAGATGCTGGTAACAGCTTTTAAAAACGTCCTTCATATTTATATAATACAAAATATATTAGCTATTATTGTTAGAAAATCATCAGTAAAAAAAAGATTATAATTCATTTGTTTTAAAAAAAATTGATAAATTCAAGAAGAGGGTTGATAACATCTTAAATCTAATTTAATTAATATTTGTTTGGATATGTGCCATTTTTAATTATTAAAAACTCACAAATCTTTTTATCGGATATTTTTACAAAAGTTAAGTAAAAAAGCGAGTGTTGTATGGATTATAGATATTTTGTTGTGGACAATTTCAAAGAAGATTACTAAAAAGACTAGTGTTGTTTGGATGTTTTTGAAAAGGTTTAATAAGAATGCTGCATGAAAAGTTTCAATAGATTATAGTAAGAACTAGTTTTGTATTGATATTTTTTATGGTTTAATTTTGTATTCAAAGTTTAAGCCTAATATGGTCACATGCAACTGTTAATTGAAAAAAAATAATTAGTTACAAAGTCTAACAATATTAATATTAAAGGTAAAATGTTTTAAAATGATGTTTCTTTTTATATGAACAAAAATATCCATCATAATATGTTATTTTATTTAAGCTGTTTTCAAAAATAATTTGTCCTTGTTTTTTTGTCCTTGTTTTTAGTGAATGTTATTATAGATATGATATAAAAGAAATTTTCTAAAAAGTTTTGTTTTATCTCACTGTTTTAATGTTACCTCACTGTTTTAATGTTTACCAAACAAAAAAATTGTAGCTATTGTCAATTTCTATTAAAATGATATAAATGATATACAGACTAAAAATAATATTATTTATACTTTAGTGAAATAGTTTTAAACAATTTAGAAACCTATCAAGAAGATGTTGCTTCCAAAACTATGGAAAAGTTTTTTGAGTGTCACTTTATTAAACCATGTATCAAAAGCTTTATCAAAGGTTATGGAGATATTGTTGAACCAGTAATCAATTTTTTTGTTTGTTTGTTTTTATTTAGAAAAAAAATACACCTGTATATATTTCAATTGTAATGGTAAACTTAATAGTTTAATTTTCATTAAATTTATTAACCTAATAAAGTGGTAATGGGTCATTGATTTTAATGTTCTTGTTTCTTCATGAAGGTTGTTGAGATTTGTATTATGGAGATATAGGGCTATGACAAAAAAGAAAAAAAAAATTAAATAATAAAATTAGCAGCCTCGAAAGTGAGAGCATTTGAAAGTATTAATTCAGTTTCTTAAGTGTTTCTTTTTTGTACTTTTTTGATATTTTTCTTCATTTATATTACATATTTTACTTATATTTTAACTGAGGATAATTATGTTCTAGGTTAATGTATTTTAACAAAAATAGTTTTAAAAGATTTAAAAAAATATATTATATATTATGTATATATATACAAGTATAAAATTTATATATATATATATATATATATATATATATATATATATATATATATATATATATATATATATATATATATATATATAAATGTATGTATCTTCATACACACAGTAGTATATATGTATGTACATATATATTTTAAATAATGTAATATTTTTTACTTGCAGCATAAATTTATTTAAATTGCAAATATAAAATTCATTAAAATTTATTTTTACATTTAAATAAGCAAAAACTATTTTTACTTTGTTTATCAAAATAGTTTTAATAAGAAAGTTCAAAGTTTTTGTTTAAAAGCTTGTTAAGCTACTTAAATGTCATGTTGTCTATACATTTTCATGCAATGGCTTATTGATGTTACATTTGAGAAACCTCCAGACATTTGACAACTAGGATAACTGAGCATTGTCAAACTGATGAATATTCTTTTATACATCTAAATGCATCTATTAATTGCAAAAATCTGACTAATTATATTTTTTGAGTTTGTAATTTAAAATTCTGCTATTTATTCACAATTTGATGGTAAAAGAAGCGTTTATTATTATTTACTAAAAATCCCTTCTAAATGCATATTTTGATTTCATTATTGAAAAATGTAGGGAAAATAGGGTTGGGGGGGGGGGTATTATTGAAGAAATAGTTGTTTTATTATTTGACTTTGAGCACTTTTTATTTATTAAATTTCTATTATATTCTTTCTATTATAGTAAAAAAGTATAAAATATTACTTAAGAAGATGGCTGCTTCAGGCAAAGCCTTAAGCCAGAAAGTCATAACTTCATCTGCAACTGTGTTGCAGGATATTGAAAAAGTTGACTTTTTGATTATTATTTCATAAAAAACTCTACATAGGGCAACTGACTCAGCTCATCTATTGTTAAGAAAATATGTCCAACCAGCCAAACATTTGTAGTTGAGCATGTTGTTCAATTACAAACTTTCTGGCTTAAGGCTAATATTCCAACTACAGCAAA